TGGGAACCGCAGTCAGGTGTATTCGCGTATCATTCACTCGGTCGCTGGGTCGTATAATTCTATTCGTGATCGCTGCCGCCACCCGTATCGTTTTGAGTTGCGCATCACGCTAGTCGTCGTACCGTCCATCCCAACGTTAAAACAGAAGTGCTAGAACTTCTCAAATGTGTGGGACAAGAGTGTGAAACGACGAGACATCAAACAATGAGGTTATTAGGCGTGCAAAACTAGATCCAGTTTTGTGATCCTTGTTCTGCATTACTGTTTTCTCTCGCCCTGAACTTATAATGGAGCTTCACTTAAGCGTCAAGTGAGACCAATATACATGTAAACTAAGCAACTAATCATATAGTCATGTATGCTGACTACTCAGTAAGCCTGTTCTAATGCCTATACAGAAGTTTGTCCACGATGAATGCTGGAACGCGATAGCACTTCTGAACGTCGAAAGTTAAACCATGGATATGCACACCGCAAAACTGCCACATAGATATTGTTTGCTTATTCAATATCAGATAAGCCGGTTATGGTTTCTCATAGTAGCATAACTCCAGGCGCAAAGAGGTATCACAGTAATCCCGAAAGTTATTCCTTCCACTGAAATCGATGCAGAGTGTAAATGGTTGGAGAATCAGATGTCACCTGCGCCTTGATCACGGCGATCCGATCCTGGCAAGACCGTAGTGCTAATCCAATCGTGGTTTCTATAGGTGTTCGCTGGTTGTGGACTAATCTTTGAAGGCAGCGACAGCAGTGTGGAATAGGGGGTAACTTCTGATTTAAATAAACTTCCTCTCACTCGAGCCCGTTTGCATTGCGATTGCCTCGGTGCACTGTCTATTTCAATCTTACTTCTCGTCTTTCTGTATTAGGCCATCTGCGACTAGCCTTTGACATATCATCCAAGTCCTGTTCACTATCTCTTTGATAGATTAGCACCATCGAACCTATGAAGCCAACTCACCTAGGGCATTCTTCTCTCTACTACGGCTGGTTCCTTGGTGAGAATACGCCGAATTCAGAACAATCCAATAGACCCACCTTGATGAGTCGTCGACTGAAGACAAAGTTTCCTCTGGGTCAGCATTTGATCCTAGCTGCCTTAGTTTCCGGCTTCAGCACTGCAATGGCACCTGCAGTTTTATGCTGTAGAGATTCTGCGTGACTCAATGCGGTTTGGTGAACTGTTCTGCCAGATCTGTATGAGGAAAATCTTGAGAAAGATCCACCCGAAGCTGCAAAAGTGTTTCCCTCTGGGGATAGTGCGACGAACGCGGGGGAACTCACTCATATTGCAGAGGCTTTAGCTGGTTGGTCCTCCGTTGGTCTTTCAACTCTAGAGGATATCGCCAATCCTCTGGAATTCCCTTCTAGTGACATTGATGGAGCAGGTAACGGATGCCGTTTTTAAGTGATGTTCGAACAAGTACCTTCAGGGGTTACGGAGGGATAACCAGATGTAATTGGCCCTGTGATCCAGTGATGATGGGACTTACCAGATATCCTGCACTCTGCTCCCACATCAGAAAACAGAAGAGAAACAACAGGAGAATGTGGACAATATTTGCATCATATTATTTTCAGAAACCACTGAAATTATGGACATAGCTGAGCTCGTAAAAAATAGTTTGCCCACGAGATGAACATACCGGATGATGCGTAAACGAATGAACTAGCCCACTGGAAAATGTCAACTCAGCCATAAGCCAATCGGAAATCCGAAACGGTATCTGAGTGGTTCCATCGATTTTTAATTGCAGTGCATGACCTTCCGCCGCATTTGGATTACTATGAAAAAGAATACCACAGGAAGACAGCCTGACAAAGACAGTAAGAACAGTTCTGAGCATTTTTGTCTCACACTGTGCGTGAGAGAGGGAGAGAGAGAGAGAGCAGTACCATTGGTCCGTATTTATGAAAATGGATAATGACCGGTTTCTTATACGTGCATTTGCAAATGGGAGCTGATCACATGTTAAAAGCAACAAAAAATACCACTATTGATCAAGAATTATAGCAATATAATTGGCTGATCTTAGGTCAGATTGAAGTGCTTCGTTATTGCTGCAACCAATAAATAATTTGTCAGGAGTATTGGAGTGAGTTCAAATGAACACCACAGGGATCCGAACCCATCTAAATATGTAGAAAGGTCAGAGTATATGGCGGCTGATTATAGATAAATTTAGACACTACGATCGAAACGAGACCACGTTGTGGTCGCAATCCATTCAGGTTTGTCTCTCCTCTCGCCCTCTGGCTTTCAACTCCTTTTACAAGAGCAATGATGGTTGAGCTTCAAATACCTCAACCATCCAAGGTGAGTGTCCTACAGTGCATTTTCTGTAGATGGAAACGAATAGGGGGGGACAAGCACTGACGAGGCGTAGAGGGTCTAGGAAGCCGTGCTCGGATCTAGCCTCCGGGGCTCAATGGCTAGGGCCCCGAAAACACACTATCGACTGGAAAAAGGACAAAACATTGAATGCGGTAAATAAAGATAACGTNGATAACGTTATGTTATTCCTGAAAGCGATAACTTCTTTCTCTCTATTGTACTTTTTCAAAGCATTGCTACTGTATCGGTGAAGAAATATGTATGTATATCTGCGTATGTCAGCATGTGAAAAGAGTAGTTTTCATTTTCCTGTTGTTTATGTCCTTGCAATCTTCATGCAGTTATATGGTATAGACAAACCGGGTATCGACATTAATGCCATTCACATGAAGGAATATCGAGGGTTACTCACGGTGAAGCACTACTATTTGCATTGGCTAAGTATCCTGTTGGACTGCCTGGGTTTACAGAGGCTAGCTCGTTGCTCAGGCGAAACAGCATACCATCATCAGGAAACACGTGGTCCGATCGGCTGTCTCGTTCGAAAATATGTCGCAAACTGACTTTGAGCGCTGAACCACTCTCTCTTCGCACATTCCACGGTGCCGTTGCATCTGGAAATGCAAAACTGATTGGGTGAAAAAGAACTGCGTTTAGTGGAAAAAGAACAGTTCCGTAGCGAGTTTTTCCTACATTGAGTTTACTCGGTAATGACAAACGCATCATATTATAATGCTCCCCCGCCAGTCCCAAGACTCACACATGACCGATCGGTAACTTCCTGTGACTATGGGATTCGTTCCTTCTATTCTTCGTCATGCGGAGGTGTATCATACCAAAAATAATAATGATGATAGCAGTAGAGGAACGGAAAACGGAACAAACATGATTGTGATTCATTCAACCTGATGACGCAGAATGTATTAGTATAAGCAGCATACATTACTCGGTCTGAAAAGATGAGCGTTCTCAATGGAACTGTTCGAGAGGTAGTTCCAACCCACTCTCTCAGAAAGCAGTGTCCACAATCGGCGACCGGATCCAAAAGAATCCCTCGGCGAACATGAGCGCTTCTTTCTATAAGTGTATACATCAACGCGGGAGTGATTGAGTTTTATTTTGAAAAGGTCAGTTCAACGACCTCAATCGAAACCATTTCCGTCTCTTGTTCAAAAAGCGTCAAAGTCATCACCGTGAATCATCTATTGCTTGCAGAACGCATGCAGTCAAATATGTGTTCTATGGTATCGGTCAGTAAAACTGGAAGGAGTTTGGTTAACAGAACACGCATTACTCAGCAGAGACTTGTGTTTATTCGTCACCTCCGTATCTGCACCGACTGATTGAAGTTCGCCAGAAATAAAGGATGAACCCTATAAGAACCTGTCTCAAATGCTCCAAAATGCTCGATCACCGGACGTCGTGGTAGTTTCTTGTATACGTGGCATCATCATCATCTTCTTCTTCTTCATCATCAACAGAATAGAAGTCAGTGGTGCGAATGCTGTACGGTTTGCCTGTCGAAATTCCGTACGCCACAGGAAAAAAGACAAACTAACAAACAAAAATTTCAAAAAGTGTACGGTGAAACACAAAAAAGTTGTCATCCTATTTACTTCTGTATCTCAACCTCCCCTCCCGTTATTGTTATCGATATCATTGTTTTGGCTTTGGCAGCATGCTTG